GCAACAAGTTCTCATAGATTTGGGTTCAGATCAACCTTGTACTTGTCTGGACAAAGGATTAAACTCACAAAGATGCAGCCCCAAACCTCGACGCAAAGGCCGTCGCTTCAATGGAACGAGAGACTCTCCAAAACCAATAGAAACTCTTCACAAACCAAAACAAAAGAATCACCAAGACTCTACACACATAGAAGCATCAGAAAACCAACAGCTTGCTGGTTAAAGGAAGAGATTCACGAAGAAGAAGAGGCAGAGACACCAAGTCTCGAAGAGGAGAGACCTAAAAGATTCCACAGAATACTCACGAAGAGGAGCTAGAATAGTGACTCAAAAAATGAGGGCTAAAAGTCTTAGACCAACAATTTATATTAATGGGTCATCACCGTACATGTTAGGTTTTAGAGATCAAACGGACTAAAGCAACACACGTGGGTCAGATGGTTTGGGCCGGGTCATAAGAGTCCATCACAGTGCGTTATTAGGCAAGGGCTTAAGAAGTATCTGTTGGATCAATTTATCATCATAGTCCAAATGGGCTGGACCACCAAGCAAAATTGCATCACAGGCCAAAAACAACTCTTCAACCTAAATTTTCTCAACTTTCATCAAAATCTACTAAAAATCTAATTTTTATTTAAACTAAAAATGGGCTTAATATACTTACTAAGTGCCGGAGAAGACAGAATTTGTAGATAATCTTGACAAATAAGCCACAAAAAGCGACTCCTCTTGTAGAAAGAAGCAAATCCATACACGCTGTAAAGCACAAGATAGTTCACCCAGAACTTGAGTTTAAAGTTAGAACACATGAATAAAAGCAGAGCAATGTATCCTATAGGTATTGTAATTGTTGTTCAACTAGAAATTCAACCTCCTTTTGCCTTCTGCTGAGAACAGAACAAATATGATGGAGCAAGAAATTGTTTTTGGTTACTAAAACAATGATGTAATTCAGGAAGCTAAATAAGCCATACTAAATATAACGTCAAGCAAAAAGAAGAATGTCCTCCACTGAACAAACACAGAGAGTCGAGAAGCAGGCGCTTAGATATATCTATGTACAAATACGATATGCAAAGAGACGTCTTGGAATGTGCAGGAGGAAATTGGGAGTAGGCTTAATTTTTTGTGAATGATTTTCTTATTATATTAAAGACCACAATTTTAAAAATACATAAAAAAAGAAAAAAAAAATAGAAGCATGACATTCTTAAAGATAAACTTGCCTCAAAGACCTTACTGATTAAGTAAAACATATCAAATCTATGCAAGATTCATGGAGAAGGAAAGAATGGATTGAAATCATATCTACTTATAAGAACCACTTGAAAGCATGTTATTCAAAATTGATGCTTTAATTGCAAGTTATAATTGTGAGATGTATTACTAATTAGATTATGATCCAAAAGTATATGAGAGGTTTTGAAGAAGAGAAGCAAAGGTAAAAATGGAGAAGAGTAATAACGTAATGCTGAGGACAATGTGTTTTACTATTGAGAATTTTGATGGTGAAATTTAGGGATTGGGCTAAAACTTTTGGGAAATTTTTGGTAGAGACGATGTGAGGAAAACTGAAGGGAGATTAGTCATTGGACTGAGAAGCCAAGTGATTTGGGTTGGATGTGGCTGACAAATTACTTTTTATTAATAAAAATTAAATAAAGGTTAAATTAAAGAATCTCCATAAACTTTTGTGGTGCCTCCGCCTCAGAGGAAGGAATTGAAGGGCAGAATCAGTCAATTCTTACTTTCCTATAATGAAAGGATTGGGCGATTTGGGGTGACCCCAAATATAAAGAGGGAGTTCGCTTGGAATGAAGGTGCTAAAGGTGTCCGAGAGAGGTAAAACAAGGTCGAGGTTAAACGAAGAGATCAAAAAGAGGGTGGAGGGTTAACTGGAGAGGTTGCAAGGGGGATGCGAGCCAAGGGCGGAGGGAAGAGGCAAGTCAAGTCCAATTAAATTTGCAAGGTAAAATTTTTTTTCTATGTATCAGCTCAGTATAAAATAACTTTTACTCCCCATGACTGCCCTTTATGTGAGCAATCTAGTGGCTGCAATGAAGGTGCTAAAGGTGTCCGAGAGAGGCAAAACAAGGTCGAGGTTAAAGGAAGAGATCAAAAAGAGGGTGGAGGGTTAACTGGAGAGGTTGCAAGGGGGATGCGAGCCAAGGGCGGAGGGAAGAGGCAAGTCAAGCCCAATTAAATTTGCAAGGTAAAAATTTTTTTCTATGTATCAGCTCAGTATAAAATAACTTTTAGTCCCCATGACTGCCCTTTATGTGAGCAATCTAGTGGTTGCAATGAAGGCATAGGAAAATGGAAGAATATGTGGACATAGTGCTCTCAAAATTGGTTAAACCATCCCATCCAAGAAAGCACTCAATGCTAGTCCAATGTGACCAAGACAAGGTTAAGCCTTATACGAGCTTGCTCCATGCTTGACATGACACTACATTATTTCATTTTTCGTATAACCATCCATATATATGTGTATACCATGCATCACGAGATTGGCGGACCCACAATGGGTCCTGTTGGTCACTTGACCCACCAACTTTTAACTTCATTTTTTTTTTTTTTTGGGTAATAAAAAATCGGATTTAGACTTTTCTTATAAATAGATTGTTTTTGTTTAACTATAATCGAGCTATCTATTTTCAAAATTAACAAAAAAATGGGGAGGAGAAGGAGGAGGAGGAATTTAAGAGAATAACTACTTAAAAATCGTATCTGGCTATGTGGGGATTAGAATGTATTTCTATTGTGCAAAGGTACACTAAAAGGCATACAAAAATAAATATCGATTTGAGATGTAACAAGTAAGCAACCTCAAGAATTTGGATCACCAATACATAATTTTTGAAAAGCATTCTTTTAATTAAAAAAAAGTTATCCCCCCGAGTTCAAATATATTGACTATAAAGCTTATTAGTTTGTATAAATTTGTATTAGAAAACCTAACAATAAAGTTCGCAGTGAACGTAGATTAACTATGGCCTGCTATGGATTGAAAATTTTGTTTCATTACTTTTTAATAAATATAGAGCATTAATGATGTAAAAGTTTCAGGTATTTAGACCTTAAATGTATTCACAACATGAATTAGTTTATTATTGTATTCGAATAGTCAGCCAATGAAAATTTAACTTGAAAAATAGTCGTTGATAACAAAAATATCGTGTCCTTATCTGTAAGCTTTATTTTGGGAACCTATGTCTAAAGACAAAGACAATTCACAACAAGTCCACAAGACCTCTTCACTTATTTTCTTCTTTACTTTACGACTTTTAATTCTTTGACAAGCTCATATCAGTGATTGAATGATAGTTTGATTACATATATTAAGAATGATATATTTGACAATAACGTACTTATAAAATGTAGCGTAGATAACAATTGTAATAAGATACCAAATGTTTTAATTTTTTTACAACTTTTTCGCAAGTTCAATTTGCCCCCAACTCGAAACAGGGATGGACACATGGGGCCCGGGAGGTCACATGAGGCCCCAACTTTTGTATTTTTTTTATTTTTAATAATGTCTTGTTTGGTATGAATTGAAACCTAAATTTTAATGTAAATCAAAGTTAACAATAAATTTTAATAACATATTTCATAAGATTCATTACTTTTTCAACTTTTATCAAAATATACTAAAAATATGATTTAAATATTTATCAAACAAGGGCAAAATCATGATAAATTTGAATTTTTTCTCTTACTCTCTCGTGACTCTCTCCCTTACGTCTTTTACCAAAGTTTCAACCCTTCTAATTTTTTAAAATTTATCTAAAGTTTCTCCACAAATTATCACATCTACTACAAATCTTCACTTTCCAATAAAATTTCCAAATAATTAGAACCTAAATTTTCCTTTTCTCCTATCAAATTGTGTATAGAAATGTGTCTAAAATGATTATGTCCAATTTGACTTATATTTAACAGATTGTATTTATTTGATTGATTATTAGTATTGAATACCGATTATATATTTTTTCTTTCGATTGGTTGAATTGATTGTTTCAATTCATTGTTTGTGTCAAATATGCTATAAATTCTTTAAATGAAAAAAAA